AATATTTTTGATCATATTGACATAATAGAAAAAAGTGAGTGCAATTAGTTTAATTTAAATTTTCGAATTTTTAAAAAAATACTAAAAAAGGCTCGAAATAATAGATTTTCTCACAAAAGATGGGAACTTGAAAAAAAGAGGAAATAAATTCGGACCGAAGACAGGACGCGAACCAGGGCACTACGATTTCGCGACTGCCCGATTTGAGCTATTACGATTATTAATGCACTTGTAAAATTTACCTTCTTATATTGTAGCAGTTTTTCATTGCCTGAAAACACGGACAAAATGACATTTTCTAAAAAAAAATTTCTAAAAATGAATCCTAGCTAGATCGATTTATTGCCCCCAAAACCCCACTGGACACTAAATCTCATGAAAATCGTTGGAGCCGTTTCCGAGATGATTGCGATTATATATATTTGTGTGGACTTGTGAAGGGATGCAATGATGGTGATGATGATCAAGTGAAAAAGAGTAAGTAAGTAGAGTTGTAAAATGCAATTTTATAACAATTAGAGTTAAGTATGTAGTTTGATCGTTGTTAATAGAATCTGTATTTTTTATGAAATGAGAACAAACGAGCACCCAGTCCACCTTTTGATAAATGAATGCCGTTACACTTAGACTACTTACATCTTTCCTCGTTAAAATCAAACTGTTGATACGCAGTCACTCCTTTATTCCGAATTAGGGACCTTCAATAAAAGAGCCTACTCTTTTTTAAAAGGCCGGCAACGCATTTGCATTTGCTCTGTTGTTGCAGTAGTTCATGGGCGGCGATAGTCACCTACCATCATGTGAGGCGCATGTTATTCTTACATAAGAAAAGACTTCTAAGGACTAACATAGAATGCCACGTTATCAGTAAAACGACCTCCGTTTCTCTACTCTTACCGTATGAAACACCGAGCAGCATTAAGATGCTTGTTGCTTGCTCAGCATATAACGATGGTATTCTGTTAGACCGTGGTCCTTCCTCGGTCGAGGCGACCCATTCGTGATGTAGCCTGTTCTAGAACATTATCCTGTTTAGGATCTCTTAGCTATTACAAATTCTATTAGATACCTAATATGTTTTTGCTATATGGTTGGGCGGTGGGCCTTAGGGATGCCGAGTCTGATTCCCCGGTCGAGCCTTGACCCTATTGCGCGAGATGTTATACTAGATGGACTGTATACGCGGTAAGCTTCTTCTGCTTCAACAAAATGGCGTATGCGGCATGCGGTTCCTTGACAATGCACTCGTTCTTCCGATATCTATTGTTTGCCAAGGTTATGAAGGAATCCTGCTTGAGCACATTAGGAAGAATGAAATGGGGGGGGGGGGGTTAGCTAACAAACAAATACTCAAGCAGGCATTGAGTTATAGGAAAAAAAACACACTTACCGAGGTGTGACTTCGATGCGGCTTGGACGCTTCCGTTGCTGCGGTGCGACTTCTGGCGGATCTCCAGGGGCCCCAGGGATGCGGTCCTGGCCGGTAGTACAATGGAAGAGAGCGGTGCGCGACGATATCTCACACTATGTGAGGCGGTTACTTCTGGAGCCTGGAGCACGACTGCTCCAGGTTGGTTTTAACGAGTGGCGCGTGGGCAATAGCCCTCTAGGAAGCGACTGTCCGTCAGGCCGTGTGTGATTCCAACTAGCGGCGCAAAGGCAAGAGAGCACTCGAGGGCAGCGCGCGAGCTTATATTGCTTCGGCCCTCCTACCAATGCATCTCGGTCGGGCGCGCTTCTCATTGGTCATCGGTTGCAAGTATCACGCAACATTCTAGAATCTCTTCTTTCCCCTCTCACCCCCCTTAGTGTGTACGGAAGGGATAGGTTGAAGGAAGGACACTTGGCACAATATACCCTCGAATAAAATTAAATACACTAATCGTTTTCCGCGCAACCATCCCCCCCCCGGCTTGAAGGGTCCCCTTCAAAATAACTAACGCTAAGACTAAACCTAATTTTCGACTACAATTTCTAATCTAGAAAGCTAATTTAAACTATTGAAGGGGCAAAGGGCACAAACGTACAACAGGACGCATGTAAGACCCAGTCGTGGTCCTAACGCGAGCTACCCTAATTACCCCGTCGGAACCGGGAAAAACTTCTTCGACAATCCCTAATGGCCAATGGAGAGGCGGCGTATTGTCCTTGGTGAGTACAACCACAGTTCCGACAGTTAAAGTTTCAGTTGCTGTGTTCCATTTTTGCCGAGACTGCAAAATATGCAAGTATTCCATCCTCCATCGTTTCCAAAACGACTGCACCAACCGGTCCAATAATTTATGGCGTGCGGAAATACTAAGTTTGTTGTCGTCTGTGGCGGGCAGATACTTCAAAGGCGTTAAATTCAAAAAATGTGCTGGAGGTAGTACGAGTTAGTACGAGGGGTCACTTTACAACGTACGACAAAGGGGGCGACTATTCATGACGCACTCAATTTGAGCGAGCACAGTACTTAACTCTTCGAAGGACAAAATTTGATCTCCTATTACTCGGTATAAATGACTCTTTAGACTTTTAATATTAGTCTCCCAATTTTCCCCAAAATGGCTCACGGCTGGGACGTTCAAAGACCACTCGATGCGGGTCTCGGCTAGGATGTGAGCTAACTCCGAATTATAATACTTGCTGGCTAAAAGCTCATGAAGTTCTGATAAAATACGTTTCGCGCCGACGTAATTTGTACAGTTATCCGAATACAATTTACTTACAGGTCCACAGTGGGAAAGAAGTCTTTAAATGCACCCATAAAGCCCGCTGTGCTTAGATCACCAACGAGTTCTATATGCACAGCCCGAGTAGTCAGACATACGAAAATGCAGACGTAAGCTTTTGTGGATCTTATACCACGCCCGCGAGTGAGCGTGACCTTAAACGGACCAGCAAAATCAGACCCGGTGTGCATAAAGGGCTTTTCGGATTTTGTTACTCGACAAAATCTAAGGTCCGCCATTTCCGGAAATGACGGCTTAGGACGTACTCGAAAGCAAGCTATACATCTGTGCACCCGATTGCGGATTAAATTACGTGCTGAAAGAATCCAATAATTCTGACGCAAGATTGACATCAGCAAGTCGGGGCCAGCGTGAGAATTCAATTTATGATGGTAATCAACTAATAAATTCATGATATGGTCTTTACGCGGTAAAACTATAGGGTGCCGTTGGTCGAAACTCAACTGCGAGTTGGACAAGCGTCCACCTACCCTTACAATCCCATCCTGTAAAAATGGCTTAAGGCGTTGAAAGGCGCGACTACAAGCTCTATTCGATTGTAATCTTGTAATTTCTTCAGAGAAATGCGCACGTTGAAGTTCACGCAATACTAGCGACTCGGCATAGTTGTCGAATCGACAAACGTAAATTACGCTACGCAATAATTTCGACCAAGAGGACAAACGGTTCGCCAAAACAATGATTGGAGAAACCTCGCTCGAAACGTTCGCCACTAGAGCGTGTCTCTTTCGGCGGTTGTGACACTGACGAAGGTTTGAAATCGGTTATTGGCCATTGCGAGGGATCCAAGTGAACCCAAGAAGGTCCGTGGAACCAAAGCGGGTGGTCCATTATTTGCATCGGGGTGAGTCCACGGGATAAACAATCGGCAGGGTTTTCCGTACTGGATACGTTATAAAAGTTCCGTGTTCCTAACTTGTCTTGGATCTTGGCCACTCAGTTCGCGACAAACGTATCCCAACGGTGGGGCGAAGAATGAACCCAACATAAAGCGACGTTTGAGTCAGAAAAGGCAAATATTCCTTCTATGTGAACTCTGTCACTACATGCACTGATAACTGCGGTGATAAGCTTGGCAAGGACTAATATCGCGCAAAGCTCTAAGCGCGCGAGAGAGACCACCTTACGGGGGAGACTCTTGACTTAGAGCTAATGAGGCTAATCAAACTTCTACCATTATTCTGGACGTGAAAATATACAACGCCCCCGTAAGCCCTCTCGCTCGCGTCTGCAAACCCAACGACAGTGATAACGCTATCTCTATTGACGTTTATATGACGTGGTATTTTAATTTCGCTTAGTAAAGGAAGTTCCTCTCTAAAACGCTGCCACAACCGAACAATGCTGTCAGGCGGCGGGTCATCCCAATCGCATTCACATAACCAAAGTTGTTTAATCAAAAGCTTAGCGTATAGCACCACCGGGCTACGAAACCCATCCCGTAATCTAGCAACGCATGACAGCATTGTGCGCTTTGTGCACGTTTCTGCGGGCGGGTTTACTTTAAGGCTAAACACGTCGGACTCCGGTGACCAACACAAACCGAAACCTTGTGCGTATCAGAATCGTCGAATTCCTTTATCGCCGAAAGGCGGTGTGATAGTGGGATTGTATCTAAACCGTACGCGAATTACTAGTCCACTTGACGAGATCGAATTGACCCGCTTTCATGAGCTTTATAACCTCGGCGGTGGTTAGGGTGGCCTCCTCCCCGCTATCAACCGAATACACAAAATCATCCATATATAATCCACTCTCAATTGTCCTCTTAGCTTTAGGATAAGAGGGACCTTCATCGTAGGCTAACTGTCTCACCGTGCGTAACGCATGAAATGGGCTCGACTTTAAACCAAAGCAAACGCGGTTAAATTCAAACACCATTAGAGGTTCTTTTGGGTCAAAGCGATATAAAATGCGTTGAAATCGACGGTCGCATTCACGGACCCCTATGCAAAGAAACATTTGGCGAATATCGGCGGATAGTGCTATACTGAATAAACAAAAATTTGCTATTATATTAAATAAACCGCCCTGTAAATTTTGCCCACTGTAGAGGATATCGTTAAGAGAAAGGTGAGTGCTAGTTTTAGCACTAGCGTCGAGCACTACACGTAACTTGGATGTAAGTTTGTCTTCCCTAATTATCCCGTGATGTGGTATGAAATACGAAGGTGTGTCTTCGTAGTTATCTAATTTTGGAGCCACAAGTGATATGTAACCCTCCCTTATATATTCTTTAATGACGCCGTCATAAGCTTCCTTTAATCAGGGTGAGGCGAGCATCCTACGCTCCAAACTATAGAAACGTTTTTCCGCCATTTCACGCGAATTGCCGAGAGATAAAACATCTCCTTTAAAGGGTAGCGCTACATTATATCGACCGTCGCGATCACGAACGGTCGTGCGGACGTAAATTTCCTCGCATAATCTATCATCTGGGCTAACTATAGGTAGAACGTTCACCTCCTCCATCTCCCAAAATTTGCGGACTAACGACTTGAGCGGTTCGACAGCCATACAACAATAAGAGGTTGCCGAAATACTATCCATGATAGGGGCGGAGCCAACGATGACATAGCCCAAGACGGTTTCCAGTATGTAAGGCGCGGTATGCGAGGAGTTGCCCCTGACCTTATTGTGTAACAAAATATGAGGGAAAAGCGATGCTCCAATGAGCATGTCTATGTCTCCGGGGACGGCGTAAGTGTCGTCTGCCAGCGTCAAATTATCAAAATCAATCATTGCCGAGGTGTCAACCGAAACGGTTGGCAGACGTTCAGTGACTTTATCTACTACTAACGCATTTATATTAAAGTTAATGTTACGATCTAGCCGAGAATAAAATTTCAAATTTATAGAGCCCTGGGTAACTTTATTAGTACCTCCGATTCCTTTGACTACAGGACATGAAGTTATCTTATTTATTGGCAGTCCTAAACGCGACAACATTGCCGCGTTATAAGGCTACTCTGGGATCCGCTGTCTAGCAATGTACGGACACTTTGTTCGTTTCCACGCGAATCCCTAACTACGATACGTGCTGTACCCAGTAACACGGTTGAAGGAGACTGTGTTCCCATATTCGACAATGAGCACAGAGCGACGTCACCAGGTCGACCGCTAGAATCGTCGACTTTAGTAGGTGTGATTTCCTTGTCCGATTTACTTGACGCAAATATGTTGCCGTTTTCGAAATGTAATAACGTGTGATGTCTGCTGGCGCACTTGTTACACACGGAACTAGAATTGCATTTAGCAACTAAATGTCTATCGCTTAGAAAATTCACTTGCTTCGTTCTGTGAAATTTTTGGTTGTTTACAAATTACAAAAAGTGATGGCAACTCAGAACTACGCTCCATTTCAAACGCACGCACGGTGTCCGAGTCTAATTTCTTTAAGGCGATATGGAGAAACACCACGTCCATAAGGTCATTAAATTTCAAGTTCTTGAGTGCAGCCACCGATGCTACAAATTTATCCAAAAACTGCTCTAAGCCGGTGATGTTCGCGGATGATATAGCTTTAAGATCGAATATCTGGTCTAAATATGAAGAGGCTAACATTAGCTTATCTTCATATTTGTTCTTAAGTGTTTCAAATATTAACAAATAATTGTTTGCTGTTGGTGTGAAGCCCGAACAAATGGACTGTACCCTACCGCTTAATTTACTTTAATTAAGTAATACAATCTTTCAGCGTCCGATAACGATGGATTATTATGTATATTATATTCAAAAATATTTATGAACAACGGCCAAGTTTTAATATCTCCATTGAATACCGGAATATCTATGGGGGGCAATCTAAGTGATTCACGTGGGCGTACATGGGTCTCTGGTTTTGCTTCGCTTTGGGCTGGAGACTGTAAGAGCTTTGCCGTTCTTTTTTACGCGACACAACATATCTTCAAATGATAGAAGTGGTTGATAATTTCACTGTATACTTAAGATCGACTTGCAATTCAAAATTATTAATTTGGTCTAATATCTTTTTGTAATCCGTCCGCAAAGGGTCCACCGTTTCGATTTCACATAAAAACGTTTCCCGCACTGCTTGTACATTAATATTCTTTATTTGATCACTTATATATTGTATGCGTGAAAAGAGTACGTCCCTCTTGGCGTAAAGAGTTTTAAGTTTAATTTCATTTCCACTAACTGCCATTTTAAATCACTATAATTAATATTACATTAATCACAATTAATCGCACAACGCTGGAGGATGGACACAATGTAATACAACTATATCTCACAACACTATTGTCTTATCGTGCCGTATTACGTCGTTAAATTGAACACCTTTGCAACCAAACGAGACAACGCGCGTCGATAGATAAGAATCTAAAACTCACACTATTTTTTTACAAATGGTGGGTAGGTTGAATAAGGTTAAGCGGATCCAAACTATTTGAATAAATAAGTCGATTTACTTATGCGAGTAACTAACAAATTTTAAATTTAATTAAACAAAACTACATAATCTATCCAATATTAAATTAGAGTGCATTGTCTAAGGAATTAATCCAGCAGTTCGACTCGATGAGGCTACAAAGCACCAGTTCCAAATCCGCTCGAATGACCAGAAAATTGTTGGTGAGGCTACAAAGCACCAGTCCAAATCCGCCCGAAGGACCGGGAAATGGTTGGGCGGTGGGCCTTAGGGATGCCGAGTCCGATTCCCCGGTCGAGCCTTGACCCTATTACGTGAGATGTTATACTAGATGCACTGTATACGCGGTAAGCTTCTTCTGCTTCAACAAAATGGCGGATGCGGCATACGGTTCCTTAACAATGCACTCGCTCTTCCGAAATTTATTATTTGCCAAGGTTATGAAGGAATCCTGCTTGAGCACATTAGGAGGAATGAAATGGGGCGGGTTAGCTAACAAACAAATACTCAAGCAGGCATTGAGTTATAGGAAAAAAACACACTTACCGGGGTGTGACTTCGATGCGGCTTGGACGCTTCCGTTGCTGCGGTGCGACTTCCTGCGGATCTCCTAGGGCCCCAGGTAGAAGAAGGCAGAAGAGAGCGGTGCGCGACGATATCTCACACTATGTGAGGCGGTTACTTCTGGAGCGCGACTGCTTCAGGTTGGTGCGGTTTGAACGAGTGGCGCGTGGGCAAGAGCCCTCTAGGACGCGACTGTCCCAGGTGGTGTGATTCCAACTAGCGATGCAAAGGCAAGAGAGCACTCGAGGGCAGCGCGCGAGCTTATATTGCTTCGGCCCTCCTACCAATGCATCTCGGTCGGGCGCGCTTCTCATTGGTTGCAAGTATCACGCAACATTCTAGAATCTCTTCTTTCCCCTCTCACCCCCTCAATGTGTACGGAAGGGATAGGTCGAAAGAAGGACACTTGGCACAATATATCCTCGAATAAAATTAAATGCACTAATCGTTTTCCGCGCAACCACTATATCACCTCAAACAGGTGTATGAAAGCTCAGTACCGATTGCACTAGAACTCCGTATGTAGTAACTAGGGTGGTTTCAGTCGGTAAAAATTTAAGCTTTTTGCATCCATATGACTTTCTTCGTCCTGTTACCAATGCCTGCTATATGTTGACTCTACTTCAGCTACTGATCAATAGTTATAGTAAGATATTTGATACCCATTACTATATGCATGATCTCATATATCATGCGTCCGCTACACACTTTTGATAAAAAGTATATAGTGGAATTACCCTCCAGAGAAAACTGGCTGAATGGCCAGGTTATCTGTGAGGTCGGCAGCCTCATATATGATATACCGATGGGTCTAAAATGGGACTCGACGTAGGCTTTGGAATTCACGGGGAACGCCCCATATTCAAACTTAGTATGAATTTGGGTAGATTCACCTCTATCTTCTAGGCAGAAATTTTCGCCATACATCAGTGTGCAGAAATCAATCTGCAAAACACTACTTCAACCATATAATTTATATAAACAAAAAAATAAAAACGTCAAGCCGCACTGCTAGCGCTGAGGTCAAACTTAGTGAACTCGAAGCTAGTTGGAGACTGCGTAAACCGTTTAAACGCCCTGGGATGTACCAAAAGGGTCGTTTTAAGATGGGTTCCGGGTCACGCGGGTATTGTACGCAACGAATTTGCCGACAAACTTGCACGGGAGGGCTCAAACTGCACACAATTTGGACCTGAGCCATTTTGTGGAATCTCAAGAAGCCTAGCCCGATTGACCCTTGAAACTCTTTATCACAATAAATCACTTAAGATCCGGGCTGAAACATCAGGCTTAAAACATTCTTAAAACTTGATCTGTACTTTCGATAGTAAATTCGCTACAGAAGCCCTGGGATTAAGTAAAAATAAATTGCGCATTCTGGCAAGAGCCCTAACTGGACACTGTTGTCTTCGAAAGCACATATCCATTCTAGGTCTAAGCAACTCAAGGATGTGTCGGTTCTGTTCCATAACGGAAGAAACGCCTCCACATATCCTAACTGATTGCGTACCCTTAATGCGCAAACGTAACACTCATCTGGGAAACTATCTACTCCTTCCAGAAGAAGAGAAATTGCTCATTTCTCTCTCTATTCATTGAAGACATAGGGCTTAGCAGTGAACTATAGCCATATCAGCGATCACAATAGATCTTTTAGGTCGCAGTGCTAGACCTACATAGCTGCTCGCATATAATTAAAAAAAAATACCCATTACTATACCTGGTAAATTTGTCAGATGTGTAACTAACATTTTTTTATACTTTTTATCATGGGTAACCAACTGCTTACAAATCATATGTAGCTAAATATAATGACCTTGCTATGTTGTCTTTTAACTTTTAATTGCATAAAGTTGTATCCTTTTTTATTTTAGTGCATTCGAGAAACTATCTTTCTCTTATTTTCAACCAATTTAAGAAAAGAAGGAGGTTACCAATTCGACTGTATTTTTTTTGTGTTACCTCAGAACTTTTTTCTACGTTTCTTTTGATGATTCTTTTTTATTTGAAAGCTGTCGATTCTCATGTAGTAACATATAAATTTGATCAAGATCTGACCAGTAGTTTTTAAGTTATTCTTAATAATGCGTATTTAATTAACTTCGACTACATTGATAATGTCAATTTATTTATATTGAAGTGAGTTGTACAAAACTTTTAATTTTACCACTTGTTATTTAATTTTTCTTCTAAGAGATTAGTATGTAGCAATCTAGCAATAAGACCGTCTTTTGTTTTCCCCTCAGTATTTGTTTATATTTTTATAATTATTTTTTTCTTGGTATACAATAAAGAGAGACAAGAAGCCTATAATAGGTTCTCAGTAATAACACAAAATAAAATAATAGTACTACGTTTTAATATAAAGACAGTTACGTAAAAAGAACATAGCACAAATCCGAGTATCAATAATTTAAAATTAAAATTTTTGTACTACTGACTTCTATATAAGTTATTAGTTATAACTCAAAAAAACTATTGCCCAGATCCTGATCAAATTTATATGGAACCACATGAGAAGCACCAGCTTTCAAATAAAAATAAAAAATCATTGAAATCTGTTCACCTAGAAAAAAGTTATGAGGTAACATTAAAAAAAGACATGCAGTTGAATTGAGTACCTCTTCCTTTTTGAAGTCGGTGAAAATGGAGTCTTATTATAATATAAACTTGCATAAAAATTAAATAAGTGAATCAGACAATAATAGTTTAAAATAAAATAAAAGCAAGAATATATGTCCTTCATAATATTTTATTAATTAATTACGACACAAAGATCTCGAATTAA